ACGATGCCATATCAGAAAACAACTGGATCCGAGACATCGAAATATCTCGTATCACCGAGGCAAGCCACCTCCAACAGTATGTCCGCCTCTGGATAGTGATTAGAAACATGAGGCCGCTAAACGAAAATCAAGACAACATTCGATGGAACCTCACAGCAAACGAGCAGTACTCTACAAAATCGGCCTATAGACTCCAATTCCTTGGGGCTGCGCGATCCATCTTCAACCAATCAATCTGGAAGGCCTGGGCGCCGCCAAAGTGCAAATTCTTCTCCTGATTGGTCACTCAAAACAGGGTTTGGACGGCAGACAGACTGGAGAAAAGAGGATGGCAAAACCAAAAGATCTGCCCACTCTGCTGCATGGTGGATGAATCGGCCCTACACCTCCTGGCCAAATGTAGGCTAACAAAGAGAATATGGACATAAATCCAGAGATGGACAGGCACTGACCTTCAGATGGGTAGCTGGGAAACTTGTCACTCTGTTAGGCAGTGGTGGACTCTCGTAGCGGAGTCCCCAAATACCCCCCGCAAGCCTCTAAAGACTATGATTATCCTAGTATCGTGGGAAATCTGGTGCGAACGCAATGCAAGAATTTTTCGAAACTCTGCGTCATCACCGTCCTCAATCCTAGCAAAGATCAAGGAGGAAGGAAGAGCATGGGTCAAAGCAGGGGCAACAACCCTACAGGAGTTTGGAATCCTGGGAAATATCACTTAGCTCTTTTTCTTTTTTGCGGGCTAGTCTTTTTCCTCGGCTAACCCTGTATATACCCTTGTTTATTTTTCTCCTGCTCTATTAATATACACAAGACAAAGCTTTTGCCTTTCTTCAAAAAAAAAACTTGCAAATTAAAAAGATGTTGAGAAAAAGGGTAGAGCAGTTAGGATTGCAACTGAAGAATGGTCCTAGCTAGCCTAGGAGTATATTGTTTAACGTTTCCACACGAGGATGGTCTTCGATGAGGTCGTCAGTCGGCACCGTTTCTTTCATTTGATTATCTCGTGTCCTCGATTTAACAAGCACACACTTAATTTAATCCATTGCATCATTTCCTCTGTCTTTTCATGGACACCCTCTTGCGATCTGTATGTGCTTACAAAACAGCTGATGTACTCATCAGAAGGATATGTAGGCCATGGCTTAATTAAGTAGCAGATTATGCAATTAATCTGGTTCCAACAAACTAGCAGATATATGTCAAAGCATGAGCTTGGAATATAGCATGCATCATCATCAACCGACCTAGAGCCTGAGAGGAAAAGGACACAAGACATCTGGCTTTCAACAAGTGCTGGCTTGATGATCATTTCTTATTTGTCTCTTCTCCTTTTGCCTTTTGGTGTTTCTCATCAGAGTTTGAGAGCACAAAACCTGTGTGCCAACTGCCTGAATTCATTCAGTCAGTCAGTCAGTCACGATTTGCATTACAAGAAATTATTACTACCAGAAGATCAGAGGGCAACGATTTTCTAGATGCATGACATGAGGTGGTTACGTTGTTTCATGATCATCCAACGTCGTCGTTCTAGAACGTGGATAGAGTTAAGTGGAATACTAGAATCAACTCAATCAAGGAATTTTCTTTTTCCTCATCGTCCAGAGAGGCGGTTGCTTTTTTTTTCCAGGTTTCAATTGTCAATTCGTCGTTAGCTGCTTGTTTTTCACTTGTTTCACCTCCATATATCTCTTTCATGTATCAAATATTGTATATTTCATGGATTTTGCTTTGGGGTTGCAATCTATTATATCTAAGCTTTACCCCTTTTTCCATCAAATTTATTCTATTTACATCAGGCTAGATATTTCCTTTGGAGCTAAGGGCTCCTTTCAAAGGCACTATTAACAAAATGGAGGAATATAAAAAAAACACATTATTTTGATAGGATTGTAAATATAGGGCTGGAACTCATATTAAAATTCCTCTAAAACTTGTACATATATTGAGACATTTTCATATGATTCAATACTGTCCTATCCTTTATTTAAAAAAAACTGCATATGAAAAATAAAATCTTATGGAATTGAAATTCTATAAAACTCCTATTACTTCCATCTCATATTATAAGGGATAGTCGATTTATTTGTATTGCCAAATCCCTTATATTTTGGCAAATCAAATGGGGCCTAAAAATAGACCTAAGAGGAGAAGTCATGTTGTCACTGATTTAAGGTGCTTGGAGTCTGAAAAGAGTTTTGTGATCTGTTGCGGCAGAAGCATAATACCGCAAAAAGAGAAGAGGAGATTCTTGATGCCTGGGCAGCATCCATGATATGAAAGAAGGTTATATTATACTCCGTATTATTCTTTCCAAAAACAAGCAGTGGATTGTTCTTTTCAGAAATGAGAGGATTGTGCTTCCCTACCAACCTTTCGCTTTTGAGAATTAAAGGAATCCATACTGACTAAATAATTAATTAGCCCAAAGAAAAAGAGTACAGAAGACTCCTGAGAAGCTCAGTTTTTATTGGTAATCATAAAGCAATGGGGAGAAAAAACAATCAATCAGTGGAGCACATAAGTGTGGAGTTCATCTTGACAAGAAGCATAAGGCAGCAATCCACGTACTTTTTCTCTACCTTTGTTCGCAAACAAAATTAACAACCAAAATCACCTCAGAAACGAACACAGTGACGGTGCTGTAGAAAGAAATTAAGAAGAATGTCGCCTTCAAAGCATGCACACCACCTTTTTTTTTCTGAAGAAAAATGAACCTGCAGTAGTAGACTAGTCAAGCCATCGTTTTCTGCATGAAGAAATTAGTAAGAAAAACCATGTACACAGTGAGTGAGCTACTCTACACAATGAGTGGCACACACACAGCATCTCTGAATTGTGCAATGTCAGTTGCGCCGTCGATGGAGACGGATAGGATCGGAGCTACCTACTGTATATACTAGCAACTGCAACTTTCAGATTTCAGATTACGAAAAAAGCAAGCAAGCAGGGGACGGCAGACAACATGCGGTAGCCCAGACATGGACCGATCGGAGAGGGAGAAAAGCGGAGGTCAGGTTGGGCCGGCGTGACGACGACGACGACGACGGCGACCAAGCGCTGGCCGGCTGACTAGTAATGAAGATTTCTTCAGGCTTAGCCAGCTACCTTAATAATTAATTAGGATGCCAATTAATTAAGCTACATATATATATATATGGGATTGTCTATATATCCTGTGATTGAAAATCCCGTTCCATATCATTTGAATTTTGGACTATTAGATATGCTTTCGAGATTTGTGCATAACAATGATCTTATTATTTTCCTCCCCGTCCCCTTCTCCCTCCCACCGCACGCCCCCGGATCCGTCACGTTTTGTTCCCGCCGCTGATGCTAGCCCACCGTACTGCCCTCCTCCACCTCGCGCGACATTGGCGGTGCCACCCATCGGAGTCCATCGCCCACCACTAGTTCTCCGCCATCCACGGTCATCCCTCTAAAGTCGGTAAACTCTCCCCTTTCCCCCCTCTGCTCACCCTCTTGCCATCTTAATCCGGCACCTCTTGTTCTTTGAGTCAGGGTTGTTGCTGCCATTCGCTAAAGATTAACGTGGTTGTTAGAGTTGAAAGAGAAACTTACTAGAGCAAATCGTGAAACAGATATAATGTTATAAATCTGTAAGATTTTACCTTAATTTTTCAATCAAGAGTGATTCCGTATATATAAATATGGCACGTACAGTGAGTGCAGGATCGACCAGTTATATTGACGATGAAGTTAAGCTGCACTGTTAATGTGTGTGGCTGCAGGTCGGGTTGCATGTCCACACGTGGAACACACACCTGGCCCCGCCAGCTTTCTATCACGCCTTCATGAGCCTTCCGATGTCTCATTCTGATAGTTAATTACTTAGCTTCTTGTTAATTACTATCTCTGTTTCGAAATATTTGATACCGTTGACTTTTAACATAAATTTTACTGTTCGTCTTATTAAAAAAATTATAAAATATGTAAAACTATATATATACATGAAAGTATATCTACCAATGAATCAAATGATAGAAAAATAATTAATAATTATATAATTTTTTTAAATAATACGAATGGTCAAACATATTTTAAAAAGTTAACAGCGTAAAATATTTAAAAACAGAGGCTGTACTAGAGTATACATAAGAGTAAAAAGAATATGTGAGCACAGAGTTAATTAAGGAGGAGTATTAGGTAGTAGCTATAGACGGTTGGCTGGCTATAGTATGATGAGGCGACATCGATCTCAACTTGATATCGACACGCACGTGTTCGTCGTTGCGTTCTTCAGCGTCTGATGCATGATACACTCCGATCAATTAGATTAATCTTTTATAAAACTGGGAAAAATTACTAATATGGACCCAAACGCACGCACGTTTTGATTTAATTACTGGTTTTGAATAGGGAATGGGTCCGAACGATGTATTTATATATGTTAATTTCATTTATCTTGGTTTCTGGACATGGATTCTTAATAAGCTCTAGAAAGAAAGAAAGGAAAAACCATAGATTCTAGAAGCAGGCTACGTAGGTACGTATGGCAGCAAACTAAGACGCATGGCATGAGGAACTTTGAATTGACCCCCGGCTCTCTAAAACATTTGAAGCAAGGATTAATTTGGAATTGGATGAGGACGAGTTGATTTTTTTTTTGTTTTGTGGTTTTAAGGAAGGAAACCACGATCGATTAGTTGACACAGAAAAACTTTCTACTACAGTAGAATGAACGCAATCCGCGTATATAGATCGACCAATGATACACACACAGCATATGAATCCTTTCCAAAATGAAAAAAAAGAGAGAAAGAAATACTAAGTCCAGAAGAAGAATACGGTACGATGGGCCTAATGGAAGCCCATTGAGAACACACACAACATCTGTTGGGCCTTCACAAGATAGATTGTCGGCCCAATACTTTTGCAAACAAAAGCAGGTGGCCGCATAATTAATTTTTTTACTATTAGGAGTACTATAGTAGTTACGGTAAAATTAAAAGAGTTATATAAAATTAGTGAGAAAAAAAGAAAAAGATTAGAGGGGGACCCACCCACCCATGCGGGACCCGATCCCCTCGCCCGCCTCGAACCTTCTCCGCCTTCCTCTTCCTCTTCGTCTTCCTCTGCGGCGCACGCAGGCGGCGAATCCTCCTCCGTCGACGCGACTCCTCCTCCGCCGCCCGCCGGTGAGTCATCCGCCTCTATCCTCTCTACCTCCTCGCGAGCTTGATTTGCTCGGCCTCACGTACGTACCCTCTGCGCGATTAAGATTCTTCCTACTTTCCAGATTAGATTAGATTAGAGCAGCTAGATCGGATCGCCCGCAGCGGATCTCCCCCTCCATGGATTTCTCTTCTTCCACTCTTACTGCTGCCCTGGTTGGCTGCTGCACTTCAACTGCTGTGCTGCTGCTGCTGCCCATCACCGATCCCTTTAACCTAGTTTGTTTCTGCCCATGCGTGCGGGGGTTACTGTTCATCGATTCGAGTTGCTTGCTTCTGCCGCTTCATATTCAGATCGATCTCTATAGGAAACGATGTCTAGAACTAAGCCCCGGTTCATGTTTGCATTTATCAGGAACCAGCAGCCAGTTTACATCATTTTCTCTTCTTCTTGTCGTACTAGAGACATGCTTCAATCTTCTCAGCTAGACTAGATTAGACTTGGTCTGAATCCCAATACCTGCATTCCATACCACACACAACGGCCAAAATGTAAACCGCTTCTCAACTTCCAAATCATCCATCATAGTCAGCGGTTTTAATATTTCGACACGCCGAACCTCTTCCTGCATATCCACACCTTAAATATAGAAAATTGTCACAACCAACTTTCATGTCCATATCATAGAAATGATATTCCAGATAAACGCTAGGAAGTTCAGTCACAGCTACATAATACTAACTCAAGAGAACAAATGACGAATACTTCAGTTTCTTTGCAAAGCAGACATGTTAAATCCTCAAGTTGCTGAACTACGGTTTTTTTTTTTATTTTTGCTCTAATTCTTTTCCATTTTCTTTCCCTGTTTTAGCACACAAAAGTGGTGCCCCTGCCCTAGATTATAATAATTTTGCACTCCAAAAGAGTTGGAACTACAATTGTACGTTCCATCATGCCAACTCTGTGTTGCTGACGAGCGTACCAATTTCCTCCATTGCAGCTCATCTCATCCCACTATGGCAGCCAATGTTGGGGAATCCACAAGTGGCAGCAGCAGCGGCGGTGCCGATTCTGGGGGAAGCTTCGAGTGCAACATATGCTTTGAGCTTCCGCAGGAGCCTATTGTCACGCTCTGTGGCCACCTCTTCTGCTGGCCATGCCTCTACAAGTGGCTGCACATCCACTCGCATTCACCTGAGTGCCCGGTCTGCAAGGCTGTTGTCGAGGAGGATAAGCTTGTCCCCCTCTATGGCCGTGGTAAGGACCGTGTTGACCCAAGGTCAAAGAACGTCCCTGGGGCTGACATTCCTAATCGCCCAGCTGGACAGAGGCCTGCCACGGCTCCGCAGGCCAATCCTAACACCCACTTCCCCAATGCCAACCCCAACCCTTGGTTCATGGGTGGAGGCATCCCACTAGCCAATGCACGGTGGGGGAATTACACCTTCTCGGCGGCATTTGGGGGTTTGTTCCCCCTGCTCAGCTTCCAAGTCCATGGGTTCCCAGATGCAACCGCCTATGGGCAGCCTGCTGGTTTTCCCTACGGATATGGACACGGCCACGGTCACGGTCATGGGCACGCGTTCCACGGCGGACATGCCCATGCTGCTGCTGCTCCCCGCCATGGACCGCCTGGGCAACAACAGCAGGCGGATGTGTACCTGAAGGCGCTTCTCATCCTGGTTGGTTTTCTTGTGATTGCAAGCCTCATCACATTCTAGGATTGTGCCATCATATTGCTGTGCTTGTAATAAGAGGAATGATTTCCCGAGTTGCTTTCTGATGTTGTGCATTACCTTGCCTCCACACACGACCCAGTCTGAATCAAGTGGTTCTTTTGCGCAAAGTGTTGATAGAATTCTTGTATATACGAAATAGATGTGGTCGTGTGGAGCATATGTGTACTGTGGTTCATGAATAACATGGAAGCTCTGTCTGAATGAACTAGAGCAATGATACTTATATTGTGTTTTTGATATGATGATGCTCAGAATGAGCAGGCTATGCAATTGTTTGGAGCACAAATGTATTCCTCTATGGCTTGTACTAAAGACTATCGCACTGATATCATATCTGTGTTTTGTGGTGTCTTTCTGTCAACTTATCTCTACTAGCTTTCAGAATGTGTTTTAACTGTCCATTGTACCTTTGGTTAAATAATGAATACGAGTGTGTTAGTTGTATACTGCATTTCTTTTTCCAAGAAGTTTTTTCCGAAGACTCAAAAAACTGTTTAATGCCAAGTAGCTGTGGGAAATGGTGGCTGAGTTTGTGTTCACTATCTGTAATAGTAGAATCTATTTGATGAGACTTTCTGAATCCTGAATTTCTGATACATTGAGATTTGAACAGGGTTTTGACTTGTTTGACCGGAGTAGTATGAAATTACAATACAACGGCATTTTTACTAAATGTATTTCTTTAGTAATGAGGTGAGGTAGCAAAATTCGAATTCAAAATTCATAACTCCGTATCCGTATGGTAGGTAGCGTAACTCGAAAGCTACTGATGAAACGAAAAGCCGAGGCGAGACTGAAGGAGTGTCAGAGCGGAGGGGCACGTGTCGAGCACCCATTGGGTCCCTCGCCTGCGCCCCTCTGCTCTCTTTCCCGCCCTTTTTATTCCCCATCTCCTCTCTCTCTTCTCCTCCTCGGTTTCGTTTCCTTCCTTCTTCTCCTCCTCCTCCTTCTCCCAATCGATCGCATTCGAAGCTTCCTCCGGTAGCTCCGGTGAGGGTGATGGACGACCTGGACATGGCGCTGCCTCAGGCCTTCGAGCTCCTCCTCGGCAGAGGTGATCCATCCATCCATTCCCTCATCCTCCCTCCCTAAACCCTAGCGATCGATCGTTTGTTTCAGTTTGTTCTTAATAATCTCATCTTTTCCATTGCTCCATCCGTGCAGATCGAGACGCCTGGCCGCGCGGGGCCGCGTTCCTCGTCGCCGCCCACTACGGGGACGTCCGCGAAATGAAGAGTAAGCCACATCCAAGAACCCATTTTCTTTCCCCCCTTTGGGTTCTGCTTCTGCATCGCATTTGGTACGAATTTCTTGCTGAACATGGCTGCGGGGTTTTCATGTGTGGGTGCTTGCGCTGGATTCTTCTGGTATGATGTTGATCTGTTTGTGCCACGGATTCTTGGGGGGTGGGGGTGGGGGGGTGCTCTTCTCTAATTTTGGACTAAAATCTGGGTACAAAACCACCCAAAGATTGCAACTTCGTGTATATACAGCTCGAAAGTTTCGTTATGTTCCTAAAATGTCTCCCTTTTCTTCTTGGTTTGTGAAGGGATTGCAAAGGAGCTGGACGAGGACGGCAAAGGGATCGAGGCGACTGTGGCTAACACAAGCTTCCTCGGCATGAACGCCCTTCACGCACTGGGTTGGCTCGGCAAGGTGCCGGCCTACCGGTATCTGGTAGAGGAGGTCAAAATGGACGTCAACAAGGCCGACACTGCTCAGGGTAATAATCTACTCCAGTTCGCTTGCATCTTGAAAACATGTTCTTGGATATGCTTTGCTTGGCTCGACGATTTGTTCTTCCATCTTCAACTGTGTGTGCTTGTTGTTAGGATTCACACCCCTGGAGCATGCCGTCTACCATGGTCGCCTGCCTGCCACCAGATACCTCCTTGATCATGGCGCTGATGTGCATCAAATTCGCTCTACGGGAAATGTCTCTCTTCTTCACTCAGCTGCAGTAAAAGGTATCAACATAGCTTGGCCTCTGATATGCCCTTAGGATTATCCTTTTTCCTGTCTTAGTTAGTTGTCTGCCAGCCCATCCTGCTAGAACATCCATGTTTTCACTGTAAGAAACTCTGCCATTCCCTTGATTTATTCTTTTGCGATGGATCCAATTTGTAGTATTGAACATTAAGCCGGAGATCCTTATGTTGAAATCAGGGAGAACTGTAAATAATAATAGAAAAATGTTTTAGTCTGATAGCTATTCAAGCCTAATTGGGAATACTAATATTGCGATTAGCTTGTGATCGCTAGATGCAAATGTTTACTGGTGCTTTTATTTTCTTTTGTAACCATAAATTGCACAAGGATGGTCTACTCTGATGTGCTTCTCATATCCATCAATGTCATGTAGTCTTTTGAAAATTTTAAGATGCTTTCCAGGTTAAATAAAATCCTCTGGCCTAAGTTTCATAAAATTTCCTGTGTCATTAAATTGCTATAAGTTTTTGGAAGCAATTGTATTTACACTATCACTTGTGGGATCATCTTTTGCATGTGTTTTTTCACGCATTGCTTCACTATAGCCATTAAAATTAGTTTGCCCCCAAATGATCCTTTGCTTAGTATGATAACCACTGGTGTTTCATTATGCCAATTGGAAAATTGCTGTTTATATTTAGATGCTGAAGCTTGATTCCTCTATAACAGTTTGCCCATATATTTTTATGACCTTTGGTTTTCCACCTATTTATTCAGGGTTCTCTGAAGTAGCAAAATTTCTGCTTTCTAGAGGAGTTAATGTTGATGCAGAATCAGAAATGGGGACACCACTGGCTCTTGCTGCTTTCAGAGGATATGATAGCACTGTCAAGGTCCTTTTGGAGCACAATGCTGATGTACGATTGCTTTCATTTCTCTGTTGGCTTTCAGCATGAATCTGTTCTCCTTTGCCCCTAAGCCGTGGCCTTCGTTATTTTCTTCCCACTTGTACACAGCATCTCACAGTTAATGTGTGAGCTAACCCAGGCGTGGGAGAAGGGGCCCACACAACAGAAACTCTGATAAAGCAATAGGACAAGCATATAAAATACACTTTACAGAATAAGCTTCAGCACATTTTTTCCTTCAGAATTCTTCTTTCTTTTGGACTGTCATTACTTTGCATGACAATTGATATTCTTTGTTTTTTCCAGCCCAACAAGGTTACAAACAAGGCACTTGGTGCACCTTTAGACTTGGCATTAACCAGCTCTTCTGTGTCCTGTGTGAAGCTGTTGGTTCAGGTATAGCTCTCCCTGCTTTATATGGCCGTAGGTTTCTCTAAAGTGGTGGGTGTAGTTTACCTCTGTATAAAAGCATCAATTATAAGGAGAAACCATATGTTTGTTTATGCTGTACACTTGAATTTAATAGGCTGGAGCTGAAGTGAAAGTTGAGGGGCCAAATAATCATTTGGTAAGAGCTGCTGAGAAAGGCTTAACTGAAGCTATTAAATGCATGTTGGAAGCTGGTGCAAACCCAAATGTTCCTGACAGGGTAAGCCTTCTCCTTTGTCACACCGGTGATATCTGCTTCAGTAGTAAACGGTTTGATACTAATTTATGAACAAATGCCACAGTATGTTCATGCATAAGTTTTTTACTGTTTCCTTTTTATTTCCTTTTGCCATGTTTTTATTAATTTGGTTAGGTATGCCTAGATATTTGTCTCATACTAGCACCACCTTGGTCTGTTCTAAAGGAAATGGATTAATAAGTTTGCTGTTTACATGATTGTCCAGGAGAGGTACCATTTCATTAAAATGGAACTAGGCTACTCTTTCATTAATCTATATTATCACTATGAAGAGCATATATCCTGAACATCAAGAAGAGCTTTTTGCTACTTGTTTTATTTCAAATTTTCAATATTTCTATTTCATTCTTCATTTGTTGGACAGCTCGGGAGAATGCCAATAGAGCTGGCTGCTGAGTATGGCACACGGGAAGATGTTGAGATTCTCTTTCCTTTCAGCTCTGCTATTCCAACTGTGGCAAATTGGAGTGTTGATGGAATAATTAATCATGTACAGTCAGAAATCAAGCAACTAGAGGTATGTACCAATTTTCTTGTGCATCTTGCAACAATCCTGGTCTTCTGTGCAATGTCGGCAGCCACTCAGTGTAAACCAATATGTTTTATGGATTAACACTATTACTTTAAAAGCAAGATTCCTGAAGCATTGCACATTTCTCTGTGCAACTTGCAAGTGAGTACCAGGAATCTGAAACAATGCATTGATTGGATCTGTTTTTTTAGCCCTTTCACTTCACCTTAACTTCTTGTTGTAATATGTTTCTTCACTGCTAGCATCAGATCTTTGAATATATGTCTAATTTTAGATATTATTTACTCAGGACGATAATTTTATCAAAAAGAGAAGGTCTGACATGAAACAACAAGGGGATGCTGCATTTAAGAAGCAGGATTATCTAAATGCATCAGTGTTCTACACTCAGGTACATTCTTCGGAACCATTCCCATGGTACATCATTGGACCATATTCCTCATTGTATATGCCGTTACTTGTGTATCTTCATCTGGCGGACACAATATGTTATTGCTACTGTGTTTCTGACTCCAGAAGACACAGGGAAAAAAAACTCTATTGGAAGATTCTTTTATGATATTTGGGATTTAACTGAAGATTGGAGGTGTTTACACTACACAATAAGAAACTAGTATTGAATTAAAACCCACCTATCGATTTGCCCAAACAGGCCTTACATGGTTCACCTTGTTTCTTTTTCTCCATGAAGTTGATCTTGTTGTTCATTTACTTTTCCAGTGCACAAAATTTGGTTGGTTATCTCATTATACTATCACACATCTCCTTGCATATTAGAGCATAAGCTGAACAGTGTGGACTGGAAACTTTTGTAGCCTGAAGCTAGCAGTAGCAGCACCCACCACCACCACCACACACACGCATGCTCTACACACAAAGCAGTCCACTGATATCTGTCTTCCATTAATCCCTTTAGTTTAATTGGGAGGAGTTGGTGGGAATTGCCCTTTTACCGAGAACTTCAATTTTACCTGGTTAGGGTGTTGGTCCAAGTCGATCAGTGCTGAGAACTGGTATAGCAATAACAGCAATAAATCTGGCACTGTTTGGTTCTTTGCAGGCACTGAAGGTTGATCCGTTTGATGGCACGTTGTTCTCAAACAGGAGTCTTTGCTGGCTCCGCATGGGTGATGGAGAAAGGGCTTTGGATGATGCCAATGCATGCGAAAAGCTACGGCCAAAGTGGGCAAAGTCCTACTATCGGCAAGGAGCAGCTCTAATGTTTCTGAAGGTGAACTAGACAAGATATGCGTTTTGACAATTCACTTGTTCCTTGTATATCTTCTACTCCTGTTTGATTTGGCTTTGCACTTGTGTTCCTTAGGAGTATGAGAGGGCTCATAGGGCACTTGGTCGAGCTTTAGAGTTGGACCCTGAAAGTGAAGAGATCGAGAATTTGTATTGGTAAGATATCTTTTTCTATCAACAAAATCTGGCTGTTGTTTTGTTCCATGTTGTAATTGGTTGCTGATCCTTACAGGGAGTCGATGGAACTGTGCGGTTGATCCCTGAAATGCCAGCTACAGATAGAAGAAGCACACGCAGAACTGGAAGCTCCTTTTGTGTTATGAAAGATGGAACGACGCAAACGCTCAGTGATTTGCTGCTTTTTGTGTACATATACTTAGGCTGTCAAAACAGAAACAAATGTCTGGTCTTTTATGTCGTGTTTCGTCGTGACATCTTCCTGGAGTGGCTGTTAGACTAAACTAGCATTATCACATTCTATCTGTTGCTAGTATGGGCAGAGGATGATCAACTGTCTAAGCAAGCTGGAATGATATGAATTCTCTGAAATGTTATGCATAATATAATTGTGATAACAGCATTTGCATGGCTGCTAAACCCTAACTAGAAGGAAGCAGGTGTTGCCATCCTCAACATGAGGGGCCTGAGAAACAAGGCAACTGACATGAACATGAACTCAAGTTTATTTTCACCCAGCTGAGCTGTAGTGCTCCACAACAAAAACAACAGAACTTAACGCAAATCTGCATAACTTGCTGGACACAGCAAGTTTTCAGCTCCACTTACACGTGTAAAAGAATGACAGAAAAGCTCTAATAGTAGTGTGAGAGTGTATAATTGGACAGCCCTAAGTAACCATTACTTTACAATATGGTGCTCAAATCACAAGCTTTTACACGTATATATATATAGTAATGATGGATTTTATCTTTACATATGATTCTTTACCCTATCACCCCCACCATCTAACCTTATATTACATTTCCTGCTATACCTCCTCTTCTGTATTAAATGGCAACTACAAAGCTACAAATCCCATGCCCTTTCAGGCATGTTATTCTCCCACTAGGTGTTACAAATGCTGCCCCCCAATTCTCTCTCTTAATGTCCATGGTCCTGATTGTTTCTCTGCTGTCTTCAGGCCACAAAATCATGCAGAAGAGGTGAATGCTCAAACCGTTGCCGTTGATCCATCTGATTCATCGAATCATAGTCCGAAGATGCGACGGTGACACCAAGAGGAGCAGTAGCATTGTAGATGTCATCCTCATTAACACCAGGGAAACCTGGCTGAGCATTAGGAACGAGGTTGCTGCTGGAGTGCTGCAAGCCCAGTGTCAGCGACACATTGCCATTGCCGTATCTCCCAAGCTCTGCCAAGTGATAGGCCATGAACCGGGCGTTCTCGTCTGAGTGCTGCGCGACAGTGTTGTGGAGAAGGAGGCCGCCATCCACTTCGTTCGATCGCTGGTCCTTCAGCATCAGGTTCATGAAACTGTCATCAGGATTGGGCTCATTCTGGAAGCCAACAGGCGCTCCGCCAACATTCATTGCTCCAATGCTGGTTCTCGACTCGCTCAATTGGCTTGTTTCGCAAATCCGTGCCCTGGAGTTTTTGAGATCCTCCTTGTCTTCTGAAGATGCCATTTTATCCTTACTTCTTGGTGCATTGTCAGAGGAAGAGTTGGAGTCTTGCTCTAAATCACCAATCTCTTCTTTGTACATGTCTTCAATCATTGGTTTCCAAAGGCGGACACGGGCATTTATGAACCAATTCGAAATCTGGAGAACAGGAGAAGCATGAAGCAGTCAACATGTTGAACTCTTGAAGAAACACAAAATGCTTCTAGGATAAGAAGTTAAAACATCAAATGTGGATCAATGGTCCAGTGCACAAAAAAGATAAACAATATTTACCTGACTCCTAGTCAGGCCAGTCTGCCTAGCAAGCATTAACTTCTCGGAATCTTTTGGGTACCTGCAAAATTGTTGTGGAGGATGATAAGAGAAAAGAAAAGAGGGAATGCTGGAAAGAACAGCATAAAGGATGAAACTTACGGATGGAGGAAGTGTTCAAACAGCCAAGCGCGAAGAATTGTAACAGAGTTTTCAGGCAGTCCCCTCTGTGGTCTCCAGGCGTTTTGTGGAATCATACCGTACTGTTGGAAAGCACGTTGTTGCCTTAGCTGCTGATCAATGTACCGGAGGCGGGTTAATTTTCCCTCCTTGCCAGATGAGTTCTCTTCCTCGCCAAGCTTTTTCCTGATAACATTGATCTGATCATTGATAGCATCCTTCAGGCACCGAAAGTGCCGTGAGATTGTCTGAAGAGCAACTGCTGTGTAAGGCTTCGCAGATCCTGGTCCAGCTACCACATCAAACGATGAAACCACGGTTTGCATTTGGTGGTAATAATGCTTGTATTTCCGGTCCACCTGAAATATATATTTTTTTGAGTTAAAATGATTTGCCAATCAATTAACTAAGATTACTGTGCTATAAGTAAACTGTATATCTACTCTTGTATACATATACCAAGGATCAGTCCTATAAAACTATTGATACTGTAATCTCAACTCAAAGAAATTGGGGTTGCACTTCTGTTTAAAAAGAAAGAGAAGTACAAAACAATAGACTCCTAGAGTACTCACCTCATCCAACATTGCCATCAGTTTTGCCATTTTGTTCTGAAGCTCTTGCTTCTCAGCAGTGGAAAGCTCAGGTGCTGCATTAGCGCCAGATTCTTGTGGATTAGAAGATACACCCTCACTTTTTGGCCCTCCATCAGTCTCTTTGCCATCTGCTTTTCCTGATTCAACCTTCTCTTTCTGAGCCTTTTGTTTTATGCTCTTCCAAACACTCACGACCTCATCAAGCAGTTCTTGTGCTGCCTTGAGATACCTTGAGTTCCGGATTGCGCGTGAAGCTTCGGACTGCAAATTCTTCATCCGCATGTCTTCCCCTCTAAGGTTGTCATGGTAAGACTGCGGCGTTAACATGTCTGGCTTTATAGACCAGTACGGTAAGGAAGGCGCCATGATTTGTGTGTTCAAGCTCAGAGATAGCCCTTGGCTTTGCATTGATGGAACACTTGATGAGTTGTGATTATTCAGAACACCAAACTCAAGCTGTGAACCAGTGTGGGCATCATCATGGATGAGCTCAGAGCCACTACCTTGTGCTCCATCCATCATATGCATCAACATCTCATTTTTCATATCTTTGACATGGCTGAAAGAGCGTTGACCCTGGTGCGAAGAAAGCATGTCGGACTCCCTTGAAGAGGGGTCTTGTGACATTGCTGACGCATGCCCAGGGCCAGGCATCTCCATGCAATTCTGCTGAGGCTGCAGAATGCCGCTGAACTCCGTATAAGGTCCAGAAGATGGATTGTTCAGATAGAGCAAGTTCCCTAGAGCTGATGACATAGGATAGGATGCACTGCCTGGGTCTCTTGAGTACATGGTCTGCGAGTCTCTTTCGCTACCAGGGCTTGAATAGTAAGTAGCCATCTCGCAATTATAACTACTTATTGCTCGAGATTACTGCAAAAGCATATATGTATATGAAGAACCAGCTTTGACGTTGACTTGATTGATGATTCCAGCAGGACATCAATATTTTGTTATCCAGACTAAACTTGATCCCGTTCAACTTCCCTGCAATTGAGTACATGAAATGGACTGATAAGACACCCCCAAGGAAGTTCAAATATTGAATAAGGAGTTCTCTCCTCTGAGATTGTAAAATAACAGCACACCAATGCCAACAAAAATAACTGCAGGCAAGTGCTTGTAAAGCAGTTCAATGGAAAACTTCAAAACACTTTGCACAAACAAAGACAAGAAAGTTTAATTGAGCAAACTGTTAATATAGATACAGCAGAAGCACACAAAGAATGCCAGTCATAAGTGAGTAATCAGAATTGGGGCTCAGGCTAAGTTTTGGCAGGATTCTATCTGATAGAAATGCAGTCACCTGCAAAACTTTGCTCGAGAAGTGCGATAATATATGAACTGACAATGTGACATGCCGATTTGCAGGCTAAAGCCACAAGTGGTCCTCCATTTTTAAGATTGGATCAAAAAAGTTTTGGACTTTGTGGTCCTCCTTTGCTAACAAGATGTTATAAGAATATCTACTTGTGAATTCCTCTTGTTATATACCAAGATAAACAACCGGACAACACCATAAACCAAAATCAAATGACTGCCCAGTGTTTTCTTTTCTTTTCATAAAAGCAACATGGGGAAACCACAGTAGTATCATGAAAAGGAGAATTGCATTGGATAGATAAGGTTTGAACATATGACTCTTGAGTGAGTAATGATCATTTATCATGATGAGTACCTTGTTGAACTAATAGACTGCAACTTCTCAAAGATTCTCTGCCAGGCTGTTATTGCTACGAACACAGCTACCAATCAAAATCTGCAAGAGATGAACTTACTTAGCAGCCTGTTTGTCAGTCTAAACAAATTCTTTTTCATAGCTAGATTTTTAGAGAGTAGAGCCAAAGAGAAAACTCCAAGGCACATGTATAACCTACATACAGAACAAAGAAGCACAAGATTTTGATGAAAAACAAGCAAGATTTCCTTAGCATAAAGTGTCTGGAGTGCAGTAACTCAACAGAAGAACTACTGCAAAAAGGTAAAAGTAACAGGAAATTTGGCTTTTGAGAGCCCAGCTTCCATGAAAACATTTTTTGAAGACTGCTTCCATGTAAACGTCGAGGAAGAAAGGGAAAAAAAAGAAAGAAAGCTAGGACAATTTAGTCGGCAATCGCAAAGCCTGTTCGTACATAAGCTCAAATTATGGGCAAAGCCACAAAAAAGTGGGTTGCTTTACAATCCGAGAAGAAAACAAGAACTCATAATTCGGAGAAAACTAAGCATATGAGTTTTGAACACAAGAATTTCTCCACAAGAATCTATACACCAAAGAAAGGCAAGAACTTTGTTGAGGTTGAGGGCATGGAACCTCAAGGTCAGTCAAAAGAAACAATCTTTGCACCTGAGCTTTCGGTTCATCGAGAAAAACCAGCAGCAAGCAAAAAAAAATCCCCAAACATCAAAAGAAGCTGAAAAATTCAGATGGAAGGGAAGAGCAGTACCCTAGCTCTCTAACCCAACAAGGCAAGAAGAGCTCAGAAACCCAAGAGAGCCAGCGTTAAGCACCAACCACAAGAGCAAGAAACACACCATAATTCAGTGAAATTCCACCATCATCGAACTGAAGCCAAGAACCAAGAACAGAGGTCATGCATGCAATCCGTTGCTGATGATGCTGCAATAAGGAGGAGGAGGAGGAGCAGATGGTACAAGAGAAGGCAATAAGAAAATGGAGGAGAGACCTGAGGGTGTGCTCCTGATGGGGCGCAGGGCAAAGGCAACAGGAACTGCAGCAGCGATTGACACCAAAGCAGCCAGCTGATCTTCTTCAAGACAGATAGATAGGGGAGAGGGGATGAGAGGAGAGGAGAGGAGGGGAGAAAGATAATCGATCCTCCCAATATGGGGACAAAATCAGATCCCAGGATTAAAATAAGTAACAATCCC